TTGGATTATGAGTGTATAGTGTGTGATTGCACAAAGCAACTGGTTGTTTTCTCCAGCTTGCCTGCCCGCTTGCCCTCGCTCTTCTGCACACCATGAGCTTCCAGGAGCCACATCTGCCAATCATAGCACTGCAGCAGGAACTGTATTTCTTTTTATGTATTTTCTTTACGAAGGCTTATGTGCTATTCCAATTGCACGATGCCAAGCTGCTTACAGTATGACAGTATACAGTATAACAATATAAACAGTCACAGTATTTAGCAATAGAAGCAGCCACAACCATTGAAACAAACAGCCCTATTGCAGGAGCAATCAGCACTCATGGAATCTGTCCCAAGGGCCTTCTGGAAAAGCCAGGTTTTAATCATTTTCAAAACCTTAACAGGACTGGAGCTGATGTAATGCCAGGGGGGCTGCTATTTCATAGAAATGGGGCAGTAACTGAGAAAGCCTACCCCACAGTCCCTGATGATAACACTCCCCCTTTCCTTCCAGAACATATCAGATGGGCAGAAGCCACTGGGAATAAGTGGGCCTATCCACATCTTGACATGACAACCAGCACCTTGAATTGCACCTAGAAGCCAAGCGGTAACTTCTGTAGCTCTCCAAGAAGCATTGTTATGTGAACTAACCAAGTGACATCCAGAACTACTCAAGCTGTCACATTCTAGACCAGCTGTAGCTTCCTGGTGGTCTTCAAGGGCAGCCCCATGAGAGGTACCTTGCAATAGTCCAATCAAGAGGAGACATGAGTGACTATGATCCAGAAATCGGGTGGATCTGGCTGCAGGACTCTGTTATCTCTAAGTTCCTTTCTCTAGCCATCCTCCTACATCCCATTCTGTTGCAACTCAAATAGAATGCCGTTTTTTAAAAAAAATCACAAAAGGACGTGAGTCACAAACGGCATTTTATTTAGAATTTCTCTCCCCTTCCTTTCCCATGCTTTATATGGGCAGCAAATGCTGATTTCCAGATTCTTCTGTATTCTATTCAGGAGGTGGGAGTCCTATCATTTTAATACTGTGCTATTTCAGCCTGTTACCCCATTTCACTGTTGCACTATTTCAAGCCCAGGCAGTTCTCTTCACGTCCAGCTCTTTAAAGAGAGAACAGCAGAATTGTGGCAAATGAAGCTGATTCGAAGGGGAGGGGGGTGCCTGCATCTGAAATGCCAGTGGGAATGCCTCTCTTGATCCCATCCCCTGCTGGTTACCTGCCTTTGCTTCTCAGAAAATGGATGGCAAAGCGGCATAGAGTTTTTGCATCTTGTAAGCATAACTGGATGTTATTGTCTCAAGAGGAAAAGACTGTGTTAAAGTGGGTACAGCTAAAAATGACTCTGGGTGTTTCACCCATGGGCTGGAGACACACACAATAAAGGCACCATCATGAGGACATGGCAGAAAAAAGATGTTGCCAAGGCACATGTGCGCTGAGGTTAGGTGCAACTGGGGGAGGTCCGCAAGGAAGAAAGGAAGCATTCAACAGCCGTGTCTACAGAATGGACTCCATCACAGAATAAACATCAGTTTTTAAAGCCAACTTTTCTCCGGTTCTTTTAACTGTCCCTACCAACAAACTGAACTCCATTTGTTTTGGAAATCTGCATACCCATTTCTCTTATCAATTCAATTATTTTTATTTGTTGTTTGAAATATAATTTTTATACAGTGGAGGTTTAGTCTCCCCCTCCCCCCACTCACACAACCCTCCAAAAAACAACCCCAAAATGAACCCAGGAGTTTCTATATACACTCAATAAAGGCTACATTAACGTGATTGAAGATGAAGGGAAAGTCATGGAAAAATGCAGGCCAAAATAAATCTGCTCTGCGGGAGGCTTGGGCAGGGGTGGTGGGGGTAGCAAAGCTGGCCGCTGTACTTTAGCAGCAAGAACTTTTCGTTGGAGTAAATTCCGAAGTCTGCTAGTGCAGCAGAGCCCCTCTGGAGCATATAAAGCCTTTTGTTTGAGTAAGGAAACGCAGAGCTGCAAAATTCTCATCTACCGACCTTGACATCTTTCCCTCACCTCTGCTTACTATTACTGAAGGAAGGGAAGGGGCCAGAGAGTCCCAAGAGCTGAGAAACAGAAGCTGCCATTCACCCTGTCGCCTTTAGTTCTGCTCCTACTTTTCAAAGTCAGCTACAACACGGTTTGCTCTTCCATCTCCTGGCTAAGGATTTAATTAGTGGGTCTGCATATCACGCTAAACTCTGGCTTATTTCTGGAATAAACCGCAGTTGACCAGACTTATACAACACGTTAAGCTAGAAGTGATTGTTTTATAAAGCTCAACAGCCTTAGTGTAACATCTCAACATTAGATTAAATTAAATTGTAATCCACTTTGTAATCCTCATGTCCTATCCTTTATCTCTCAGTTACGGTTACCAGACACCTGAACAGGCCGCAACAAATATTAAAAACTGAAAAACAAAAAGCACTTAGCACTACACGTATATGAAATTAGTTTTTCCAGCATCAGAAAGACGGGTTTTTCAATCACAGGAATGTGCTAGAGCCGGTGAGGAGGCAAGAGCCTTCCGCGTAACTGATTAGGGTCCTGTCCATTTCAGGCAGCAGTCCAAGCCAGGGAGAGGGTACTAGTCAACTAATTAAGGGCACAGAGCAGAGCTTGCTAACTTGCCAGGAGCACTTATTAGAGAAGTGCTGCGCCACGGAAAAAAGCTGCTCAGGAAGAGATACTCAAAAATCCAGACAAAATTTGATTTTAAGGCTATGCCTGCAGGATGGAGGACAGGAGGACACAAAGGAGGACATGTCCTCTTTTTCCCCCTCAGACAGCTGGTAACCCTACTCTCAGCAAACTTCCGCAGAAAGATATTTAGGCCACATAGACTATGATATGTGCATGGTAATGTTATGGTGTAGGAATGTGACTTTACTGGTTCTCTCTTTTACAGCAGGTGGCCACACAAAAAATTAGTAGGCCAAGTTTTCCTTCACTGAGATAAGTGGCAAGAAAGATCGGGAGGTGGCAAATGTGATCCAGGTTGTTTTTAAATGGTGAGAAAAGACTTGCTGTAAAGGTAGAGAATTGCTAGGACTCTCTTCTCCCTCTCACCTCTTAACCGAGATAATGTGAACTATGGTCAGCTCTCACAGTTGCTAAAGACGGCTTATCTCAAGGCAAATGACTGAAGGCAGGCTGGTGGGCAGCCTTCGTGCAACTGACAAAAGGGGTCTCCATTTTTTGCCTTGCAACTTGTGTGCTGCATGGAATTTGCCTCCCACCCTTGCATTCAAGTAGCCTGCTTGAATATAAGAAATAGGATGCTCAGTAATTACTTGGTCAAATCTTTTGACCGCACAGCAAGAGAGCCCCTTGTCTTCATGTTTGGCTATTTAAAATTTGGTCCATGAATGAACAGGGCTATTAGCGGACTCAAGACAATACCCAGCCAAATTGATACTAGGCAACCTTCCTGTGTCTGGTACCCTCTGCAAATGGGGACTACAAATCCTATAATTCCCAAGTTGTACCACATTGGGACTGATTACACACACAGACAAGACAGCAGCTCTTTTGAGACATCTGAATTGCGTCAGGTCCACGGTCCCGGAGTAGGCAATTTAATCCTCCCTCTGTTTGTTTGACTGAAATCACCTCACCCCAACCTCACTGTTACTCAAGACAAAGTCTGAAGGCTAGCTGATACACAGTGTTCTGTGGAACTCACAAGGGGCTTCATCTTTCTTTGATTGTGACTCACAAATCTACATTTTTCTCTTTATTAAGAGAAAATTCTTCTCTTAATTAAAACAGAAGGAATCTTCAACTGTTCCACTTCAAATGACAGACTCTGAAAGTACATAAGACTGAGTTTGACGTGCCTTTGGAGGTTTCACCACCCCGTATTCTCCAGAATGAATCATGGGCTTGAGTAGGCTTCCAGGTTGTAAGGAGATAAACCAAGAGCACTGAGTCATGCGCAGGTCTGGCATCAGGGCTTTGCATTTGGGGATAGTTTCTACTTCCCCAACTCTTACAAAGGCTTTTGCCTACCATGCTGTTAATCAGAAAAGCTATCTATAGACACTCTTTGAGCCTTATTTATTTATTTAGATAATTTATAATGCTACCCCTCTCACAACAGTGACTCTGGACATTATATGAAGTAAAAACAATGACAATGACAATCTAACCTATGACACCCGGGGTTAAATAATAAACCCAAATAAAACTGCATTACCAGCAAAGCTCCCATAACTTCCTGGTTCAAATGCCTGGGGGAACAGCCAGGGTTTGGGAGCCCTAATAGGATCTGGGCATCCGGATTTCAGGAGAAATCTGCACAGGGAAGGTACATTCCTGGCTTCAACAAAATGGCACTGTTTGATGGAAGGAGCCGCGGGCATGCCCTCCCTGCTAGTTGGGATCATGATGTCTTGTGGGTGGCTCCTGTCCTTTCAACCCTCTAGGAATTAAATTAGAAAGGGTCTTTCCAAAGCAGCACCTCATTGGGGTCTCAGAGGAGTTCTAGGGGACAATGGGCAGCAGCAAATCAGTTTGTTCTTCCTCTCTTTGGGCTACGTATTGTTGTAATTTGTGATTAATTCTGATCAGTTACCCTGTTTAGGGATGAGGATATTTTAATGGTAGAACTTTAGTGGTAGGAGCCATCAATTCTGCTGATAACTCTGTAGCAATGGAAAATACACATTTTATTTTGCATTTAGATGTATACCATGCTTTTCCTTCAAGTAGCTCAGAGTGGTACATGCAATACTCTCTCTCCCAATGTAATATTCACAATAATCACCCTGTGAAATAAACTGGGATATGAGGTAGGAAGTGGCCTGAAGAAATCCAATGAATTTCCATGGCTGAAGATGGCCTTACACCTGAGTCTCCTGTTCCTGTCCAACACCCTAAACTACCACATCGCATGAGTGTTGACCATTCAGGCTGGGGAATGGTGGAGTCCAGCAGGCTTAACTTATACCATCTTACAATAATCCACAATACTGACCTGATACGGGGATGCTTCATCTTCTGTAGCAAGCAGTATGAAGAGTATAGGGAGGGCAAAAGAGAAAGAGAACATTATGAGTAAAAAGAGAAATGTAAAGCACACCTTTCTTTAATACGGTAGGTTCAAAAGATGTCCATAGCTAAGCAGCTGGGTTAATGGTTTCTTCAAACATAACTATTTCAAGGCAACACCACATGGCAAGTATTTATGTGAACGCCTCCACATTGGTGGTTACTTTGGGCAATATTTATATATACAGTGGACATTCATAGCCAGGAGTAGAAATGCCACAGCCGCATCATGAGGAGCCAATTACACTTGTAACTCGGTTGCTGCGTGGAATTTGCCTCCCACCATTACATTCAAGTAGCATCCACTGAACTGTTTAAATAGGCTGAATGTTAATTTCTATTTAGTAATTACTTGGCCAAATCCATTCCATGCAGGATGGGAGCAGCTACCTGTGTTCAGCTACTAAGAATTTGGTCCATTAATAAACTAAACCATAAATGGACTGACATCAGTACCCAGTCAAAGAAAGGAAGAAATAATAAAATAAACACACATATACACACACACATTTAGATATACACGCAAAGGGTTTTTTTTTTCTTTTTTGTTTGTTTGTTTTGCAGTTGTATCACTGATTTCTGGCATTTGTGATCACAGAGCTCTCTGGGTGCAAAAAATGGGGGTTTTAGAGGCCGCGTCTCCTTGTATAGCCCGGGAGCTGTAGGCTGCCAATCTTTGCACTATAAATAAAAGCACTGTATCACCCACTCGCTGAAAAGCCGCACTTTTAACGCCCAACTCTTAAATATGAAATATAGCCAACTGCAAGCAAATTCAGCTGAAATTAAATAAAAAATAAACTGTTTATTCACTACTTTGACTGTGAAAATCTCCTCGCCAAACCAACTTTGCTGGAGAAAACATTAAGGAACGTTCTCTGGGAGCAAGCAGGCTATGGAATAGGTAAACCCTGTTCTCAACACCAAGCCTTTTCTTGTACAACAGCAGGGCTATTGTTCGGAGAAGGGCTACAGAGGATACCCAGGAAAATGATCAACTTCCCGGTTGTGGGGCTAAACCTTCAGAATGAAAACAAACTCCAGGGATAAGCTTCACTGAAAAAAGAATATGCATTTTGCTAGGAGGAGGAGATTTTTTTTTTCTGAGTAGGAGGAAAGCAACTGGCTCTGCTTGTCCAGGTAGAGTATTTCTCTCCTTCTTTAGTTCATTTTTCGCTTTTCAAATATAGAAATGCTTTATTTCTGAATTGGTACCTGTTTGGCCCAGGTTTGGCAGCCAAAACATATTCAGAAGTAAGTCCCATTGATTCCTAAGGGGCTTACTATTAGGAAATCACTGTTACTGGAATCACACTGAGCTAAGGCAAAGACCATGGTTTATAAACACAGTGGCTGATTTTGTACATGTTTAGCCAAACTCAGACAGACTGCATGATGGCTTAGCAATGTGAGTAACCCAGTCTGAGACTCTGCCTGTCACGCTAAGCAATAAAGTTGGCATAGGGACAAGCATCCACTTAAACCAATACAAAATCATGCACGTTGGCACAAAAAAAATCTGAGCTAACAATGAATAATCAAGAAAGGAGTCTTGCAGTTATGGCCAACAGCAAAATGAAAATGTCACTCCAGTGTGGACTGATGTTGAAACAAAGAGAGGCAAATTCCATGCTTGGGATGAATAGGAAGGGAGTTTAAATAGACGTGCCAATATCGTAATGCTATTATAGAAATCTATAGTGAGCTTCTTGTGCAGCATCACATCTCAAATAGAAGATTTTAGACCCGCAGGTGCAAAAAAGGGCAGTCAAAATGATTATGGGATTGGAGCAACTCCCCTATGTTGAAAGACTACAGCAATGAAGGCTCTTTAGCCTAGAACAAAGAAGGATAAGGGGAATTGCAACAGAGCTATATAAAATCATGTACGCTACAAATAAGGTGGAAAGAGAAGTTCTTCTCCCCAGTCAGTTTTGGAACTCAAGGTCATCCACTGTCACTAAATGTTGGGAGATTCAGAATCAATAGAAGGAAGCACATATTTACATTGTACACAGTGAAGCTATGGAATAGCTGCCAGTAGCCCTGATAATGGCAGCCTCTTTGGGTGGTTTTGAATAGGGAATGGGTGGCTTTGGGGAGTTTCAGGTTACCAATGGCTAGTAATAGACATTCAAAGCAGCTGTTCTGGAACAAAGAAACATCACCAGCACAACTGAGGGAGAAACTGCTAAACTCACATACATCAAAAGATTTCAGGCCATCTCATCTTAACAAATACAAATGGGCTTGTCACACATTATAATTGATGCTTGATAATGTACTTCTAATCTGTCCCACATAACCTGCACATGCATAACCAACCTGCCTTCCCCCCCGCCCCTGCCATATCCCGTGCATCTCATCCCAGTTTAAATCCTACATCAGTTTAGCCACTCGATGCATCTGATTAAGTGAGCTGTGGTCCACAAAAGCTTATTCCTTTTAATAAAATGTGTTAGTCTGAAAAGATACCACCAGACGCCTTCTGATTAATGGCTACTAGCAGTAATACTGAAGGTTTGCTACCTCTTGAATTACAGGCAGCACGCCTGAAATATCGGTTGCTGGGAAGCAACATTAGGAGAACATCACCCTCCATTCTAAAATGAATCCAGTTGGCAAATACAGTATATGACACAAAGTGCTGGACAAGGTGACCTATAGCCTGATCCAAGAGGGCTCTTCTTATGTTCTTATGCTGGCTCCTCTATGGCTTGTTAACCAAGTTAGCACATTGCACAAATGCAGGATTCTGGCTTTGCCTGCCTGGAAGAAGCCAGAGAATGAAGCCATTAAAAACTAAATGAAGCCACCGCTTTGTTCCCTGGTTTATTTCAGGCAGACAAAGCCAGACCTCCACATTTCAATTTCACACTAGGCTTTGCTAACCAAACTGTGTGTACCCACTCACAGGAGAAGCCAGAAACACAAGCAAATGTGCCCCCTATCGAACTAACCATAGTAAGTGAAACAGGGGCATCTCAAAGCTCTTTTCATTTGAAACCTACTAAACAATCTTCAGAAATGTGCAGTTTCCGTTTTCAACTACATTATTCCATACGGGATGGAGAGCACCAGCCCACCTTACACAGCAGTTGTAAGCATTGTTGACAAAATGCTCTTAAATGTTCTTTACAAATGCAATCATCAGAAGAAAATACTGAAATCTAGAGCTGAAATGAGAACTGAATTTAGTTTCTTTCATTAAGATACTGGAAATAAGCCTTTGATTTAAAAAAGATTTTGACATTTCTTTTCAACACTGCTCTGCTCCTGCCCTTTGCCAACAGGTCTGGTGTCTACTAGTAAAGGATCTTCAGGACCATCGCTGGATAAGAAAGATCCGTACATAAGCTTCTGGGTGCAAGCCAGTCCAAAAGAGACAGGAATACTCTAGATCAGTGTTTTTCAAACTTGTCAAATTTAAGATGTGTGGACTTCAACTTGCAGAATTCCCCAGCCAGCCTTACTGGCTGGGAAATTCTGGGAGTTGAAGTCCACACATCTTAAAGTTAACAAGTTTGAAAAAACACTGTTCTAGATGGGCTAACATTCTGACCTGGCACAGTAGCTCAGTATGTCTATGCATATTCTTGTACCTTTAGTGGGACCCCTCTTCACTCACCCCACACCTAAGCCATCTATTCCCTTCATCTGGGGTTGATAAAAGAATCATGACTCACCAGGGGAGGAAGTTTCTGACAGCTGGAAAAGCAAAGCTGGGGTTGGTCTCCGACGACGGATCTAGAAGAGAAATCATATAGAAGTTTTGTTTTACTTCTCACAGTAAGAAGATGGGAGAAATGTGGGGAAGAGTCAATGCACGTTTGGGGGCTGTGGTTTGGAGACCCTCTCCATCCCTATTGTTTTCCCAGTAGAAATGAATAGAGGGTGCCCTTGTAGATTGTTTGGAAACTGTGACTGGCAGCACTTTTCTGATCTGGAATCAACTGCCCATCAGTGCTCCAAGATCCTCCAGCCTGTGGGCCACAGTGAAGGTGCTGTTTTCAGTATGCTTTTCCATTCCACCAGGGAAGCCCAGCCATCATAGGAACTGTGGCCCCCACTGCCCAAATTCCATGGATGTTTCTCCTTGTGCCATACTGATGCCTTGAACACACAGTCATAGCCTGCAGCTTTGGAGGAAGCATCCAGTGGCTGCATAGTTGGATGAAGGATATCCCTCTGATGCCAGAGGATCTGACTCGCTGATCTCCATTAGCTGCCCAGAGGGGAGGAAAACATGGAGCAATGAGAATCAGAAAAAGACTTCCCGCTCCGCTGTTAATACCTTTCTATTGTCGAATTCTACTCAGCATATGAAAAGACATGGAGGGTGGTGGGACTGCTTATGGACTTTAGCCACATTACTCCACAGATTGACTTCTCCAGTCTAGGGCTCTCCAGATTTGTGAACTACAGCTCCATTCACCTGCACTTTTGCTATCTGGGAGGAAGGGAACCTGTGATCCAGCACCCCTTGAGGGCTGCAAGTGTGTGGGGCAGGGGCTGGGGGAATCTACTCTATAAAGTAGTAAGAATGACAGTAAGAATAATGTACTGTACGCCTTGGGCCTGACACGAGAGCTGAGGGTCCTTCTCACATACAATTCATGAGCCAGTTTATTCAGCCCACGGATTCAAGTGGAAAGCAAAATGGCCTATCCAAGGTAGACAACTGGTGTTACTGATACCTCCTTGGTACCTATCAGGCTCCCTTTTCTCCTGAATGAGAGAGAGAGAGAGAGAGAGAGAGAGAGAGAGAGAGAGAAAGAGAGAGAGAGATGCAACTTTGCAAACAAACTCCCAGTGCAGCCCAATGCTTTATTTGTAAATATGCCTATTTACCCAACAGAAGTAAACCAGGGATGGTAGGATGTATCCTGGAGGGTTAGAATAGGTAGCAAGGAGTTGTCTTCTCTAAAAGGTTGCTTTATTATGGGCCATACCTGCCAAGTCAAACAGGCTGTGAATAGACAGTGCTTCCATGGCAGCCATTTTGTGAGAGTGCTCCTGACATGTTTTCAAAATCCTCAATACTTGCCTGCCCTTGTTTTATCCCAATAAAATCTGTCTTCAGGTGGATGTTAAATATCAAAGACTACCACCAGATCCTTTCAATGGAAGATGCTGGAGACCAAACTTGGGGAATTTCACACCATATTCTGGTAGCTGGGACTCTGAAGACTGACAAGGTGGCTCCTTGGGAGCGTTCAGGACACAACCATTAAGTTGCCCCTGCCAGACATAGCTCCCTCGTGGGCCTGCACTCTGGATTTCCAGACCAGGTCTTCCTGCTCTTGCTCATCTCAGGTTTATCTTGGATAAGCAGCCAAATTCATCTGCTGCCTGGAAATGTGAGGGGGCTATAAAGTCTTTCTTACCCAGAAATAGATTTAAGACAAAGTTTGATTGGGAGGCATCAAACAGGGGCAGACTTCAGCTGTTCTGGCCTCAAGCTCATTTAAATGACAGAATCTGTTTTGGAAACTCCTGGGAAACCTGGAACTGGTTTTTATTCTTGTAAGCCGCCCAGAGTCACTGTGAGTGAGTTGGGCGGCCATATAAAGTGCATGCATGCATGCATGCATGCATAAATAAATAAATAAATAAATAAATAAGCTGAATATTCCCCTACAAGCATCATGTTTCTGGCTCATGTTCACACAACTCACTTAACCAAGTCAGGTACAGACCTAGTGGTGGAATTTACACACTCTACTAAGCTTCATTAGTTTTAAGGTTTGGGGTTCATCCTGCTTAGCAAGTTTACAGTTCAGCGAGCTGGACAATGAGCTAATTTAGTAAGCAAGTTCAGCATATTGACATGAACACAACCACTGGGCAGTTTTGAGCCAAGCACTCACTCTCATTTCCCCTGGATATTAAAACTGTATCTCAAGGATCAGCTTCATAAAGACTGTGGTAAGTATGCAGAATATATATATATTCTGAATATGTGTGTGTGTGTGTGTGTGTGTGTGTGTGTGTGTATATATAT